CAATACACGGTCTTATAACTCTCTCCCGGCGAAAAAAACCTCGTATAATTTATGCCTCCACGTCTACAGGATCGTCATCAAATGGGCACGCCATGCTCAGTAACCTTCTGCAACAAACTGACCCTGGAACATAACCTGCTCAGTAGCAGGTTATCTTCAGAGAGTAAGCTGCTATGGTTACGTACATACCCAGAAAGTTAACCTCCGTTTTTGGAACCGAAAGTTGAGGTTATCCACTAACTTACCCTTAAACTTACCCGGGTATGTCACATAACCTGCTTTCTGGAATACCCCCCTGGAGTTGTGAGACTGGCCGTATGTGTGCACGGAGATGTTTTGGCGCCTGTATTTTCCAGGACAGATTCTGTATCCTGGACAACCGGGTATGCTAAACGGATGGATGCATGAATGGATGCATGGAAATATGTCTCGCAGTTAGATTAGTGATTACCAACGTGTAGAACCGGCATTCTACTTATTACAACCACTTTTACCGTTACCGTGACTGCCGTGTCACGACGTCACATATGGGTTAAATGCAGAGGACGCATTTAGTTGTGCTCTGGTGTGTCAACAATAATAGTTTAGGAAGTTTATCTTTGTGTCGCTTAGTAGCCGGTGCTACCTAACAACCACACCATCTGTATTTGTCTAAACACTCCAAACAGTAGCTGGTTTATTGGAAGCTATATTTAACTGCCAATGCTAAATGCAGACTATATAAGTTAAAATTCTCTTTGCCTTTCTCCTTTTAAGCTGACTGCGCTTCACCTGATGCCCAGGAAAATATGGTTTTGACTGGGGAAGCCCTTTCGATTTTAAATGTCATTTTTAGAACCTACTGTACTTGCAGTTAGTTAAGTTTAATGTGAATAATGACGGTTGATTTTCTGACTTTTCCCACCTCTTTTGACAGCAAGTTGCCCTAGACCTGAATCCAGTGCAGATATGGTCTTGGCTGGGGAAGCCCTTCTAAGGCTTCATAAGAATGATTTCCCTGAGGGGTCAACTGCTACCTTTCAGTGCAGTGTTGGTTATGTGCGGGATAGTGGCCAGCCAGACATCTCCTGCATCGGAGGAAAATGGACCGAAGTAACCCTGAAATGCAAAAGTAATTTATTTCTTCCTGTAGCTGAAGTTAACTGCTTTATGGAAATGCCTCTTAGTAGAAATGCCATTTTATTGCATGAATTTATTCCAGAAAAATCCTGTGGTTCGCCTGGGGAGGTGCAGAATGGGAGATTTGATTTTACTAATGGGATTGAATTTGGTGCCGTAGTCAAAGCATTTTGTAATGAAGGGTGAGTATTCCGGACAAACATGAGTATTAATGATAATAGGAATAATTAATATTCTTTTTGTTATTTATTAGTGCCTGTTCATGTTAATGTGCTTCTGTAGAGGTTTGATATGCTGCAGTCAACACAGTGATAAATCCTATAGTCTGCCTTTCTACAGCACACATGATGTAAATGTAAATGATGAAATGCCAGTGACAGTGTGGGCCTTGGTTTGGTCACGTGTTGTTTCAGGATGCAGTATGAGGATACATGAGTAAACATGGTCTGAAAATGCAAGACGAAAGTGTGGTGCATACATCTCTTTGAATTGTCTTGTTCATCTTTTCAAGCTACGTGATTGTAGGTCAGGATTATAGACAGTGTCTTGATAAAGGCTGGACTGGAAGAATTCCTACATGTGAAGGTAAAGGACGTTTGCTAATACTGTGTTTAAAGCTCATAGTTTTATAAATTAAGAATGAAATGCTCTCCGTTGCTTTTATGTAAAGATGAACACAATTAAGTATTTTAAAAAATGTGCGCCAAAATTGTAAGATTACTAAAATGTCTGTCTTCATTCAATTAGTGGTACAGTGTGAAGAGCCTCCTGAAGTCCCGAATGGAAAGATTGTATCAGGACACTCCAGTGAATTCCCACAGTATCGGGATACCATTCAATACGAATGCAATGCTGGCTACACGCTTGTTGGGAAAATGCATATAATGTGTAATGCAACTGGGGAATATGAACCACAAGCTCCGGCATGCAGCAAAGGTGTGAATTTATTATTTTTTCTTAAACTTCCTACTGTTTGTACTCTGCAGTATATGAACTATTTATATAGCTGATATATATAGATGATTTTTCGTTGAATTCTTTTTTTTTCTGATTGCAGCAAAGCGTGCTTTAGACTAATTGCTTAGACTAAATTTCAAATCCACCAAACGTTTTTAAACACAGTTTTACTATATTGTGATATTCATTGCCAAGTACTAGAGAGCAGAGGAGCTTGGATGTTTCTTTTAGGGTGATGTTTGTGGGGAGAGCCTATATGCTTTATGCGAATACGGGGAGTATAAAGTGTTTTGAATGTGGGGATATCGGGCATAAAATACTCGCCTGCCCTCACAGGGTCGGGAGTGGTGACCTGCTCGGGAGATCAGGGCCTAGCGCTGTACCTGCGCCTCCTGCAGTTGTGGATTCTCCTGAGCACAGTCTGGGGGAGCTACAGGTTGAGGCTGGTTGTGCAGAGGAGGGGGCTGGGGATGGTCTAAGTGATGAGTCTGTGGAGGCTGCTCAAAGTAGTGAGAGTGTGCAGGATAGTGTGAGGAGTGAGGTGTTTGTCGGGGAAGCACAGAGGGCTCGTGGGTTTCTGCTGGAGGCTGGTGAAGCTGGTGACAGTGTTGGTGGAAATGAGGTTCAGGTTGAGGTGACATGTTTCTGCTATTGAAGGTGGATCTTGGTGATGCTGTAGAGGATGTGGACGATGATGCTTTTTATGCAGGGTTACTTTATTTAACTGCATATGATGTATAGGCTACTGTGATCTTAGTTGTATTACTTTGACATGTTTTTTTCCTGCATTATTGGTTTTTCTTTAATATTGAGAATTTTGTGGGTTGTATTTTCTTATAGATACTGATAGAGGGATTGTATTGGACCCTAGAGAAAGAACACCGTCTGTCACAGTTGTAAGTGTTTTGTTGTCAGGTACCTTTAGTTGCTTTTAGATATTCAGTTTTTTTTCCTTTTTGCCAGATAATGTATTCTTGCATATTTCCACTGAAGGATGAAGATGAAGAGACCACATCTGCTGTGACAGAAGTGGACAATGCTGGTAGATCCACTGAGGTATGATGCATACCATTATAATGCATGCCCCCTTTTTACATTACAGTAACAAACTGTCATTGTCCTTTCACAGTACATACCTGGGGATTTACCCACAGATGAAGGTCCTTCAACCTCAATGCACGATCTAAGCTGTGTAAGAATTTGTGTGCAGTTGTCCATATTTTAATTTTATTGTCTGACAGAATCTCATTTAATTATTTTTGCCTTCCTAGTTGCCAGCAAAGGAGCTGTATAAGGTCCATCTTCAAAAACAAATAAGAAAAAGTGAGATGGAGATGGACCTTATACAGCTTCAAATGGAAGAGAAAAGGCTATCCATTAAAAAAGCAAAACTAGAAATTGAATTATTGGAGCATCGCCTTAAGGTGAGAACTTGTGTGAATATTAATCTGTTGCATGTTACAAGTGTTGTGTATATAAAGCAATGTAATACATAAAAAAACACATTTTATTTCATTTTACTTTCATTGTTTTTCAGGAAATAAAGAAATGAATTGCACAGCAGACCAGTGCAAACAATTTAATAAAAGTAATTTTGACAAATCCTGTCTCTCAAAAGTCTTCCATCTCTGTGTGCACAAATCTGTAGGGGTTCCTCTGGGTCATCTTCTTCAATACAAGGAGGGTGGCTTTCTCCTCTTATAGTGGCAATGTTGTGAAGCACAACACAAGCCACTATGATGGCATCGTGCACAGATCCTGGCCAATTTGCCTCAACATTAGTAATGATGTGGGTTGCCTCACATATTACCTATAGTTGAAAAGTGGAAAGTAATGAGTTTAATGATGTTAACAAGGCAAAAAATTAAGGACACAAAATCAAGTTGTTACCTGCACATTGATACTATGAATAGATTTCCTATTAACATTGTCTCCCTCATTTATTGAAGGAGCTTTAATAGGAATGTGGGTGCCATCAATGCACCCGATTACATTTGGAAACCCTGAAGTAGAAAGTCATATATAGAAGTATCAAATGTGTGTGTGTGTGTGCAGGATGAATACATGTATAGATATAAATAGTATGACTACATATTAAATATGCGTCATAGATTTTACTACAAAGGACAAACCTACCACTCTGTGGAATTCCTCTTTAATAACACGCAGAGCTTTATGGACAGGGAACTGTACAAACGTGTGTAAGAAGCGTTTCAGTGCCAGACATACTGTGCGAATGGCTCTACACACAGTTGCCTTTCCCACATGTTCTGCGTCGCCCATATTGTACAAAAAATGCCCTGACGCAAAAAACCGAAGTGCTATGTACAGAATGTTTTCTGTGCTAAGCGCAGACCCACGGTTTGTGACATTTGCAATATGTGGTTTCAAGAGATGTGTTAAGTAAATTAACGATTCTTTTGAAAACCGATAACGCTCTTTCAAATAATCATTAGGAAATGAAAATACATCAATACGCGGTTTTATAACTCTCTCCCGGCGAAAAAAACCTCGTATAATTTGTGCCTCCACGTCCACAGGATCGTCATCAAAAGGGCACGCCATGCTCAGTAACCTTCTGAAACAAACTGACCCTGGAACATAACCAGCTCAGTAGCAGGTTATCTTCAGAGAGTAAGCTGCTATGGTTACGTACATACCAAGAAAGTTAACCTCTGTTTTTGGAACCGAAAGTTGAGGTTATCCACTAACTTACCCTTAAACTTACCCGGGTATGTCACATAACCTGCTTTCTGGAATACCCCCCTGGGGGTGTGCGATTGTTTCAGAAGTTGACGAGTGAAATGAGACGGTGTAGTAGTGATTGAGTCCTTGTGGTGGGGGGAGACTGGGCGTATACGCAGATACTACACCTCCGGGATGTGGAGGGGAATGTCACGACAGATCCTGCGGGGATGAGGACACTTGTAGTGTAGTCTGTACAGCGCAAGTGAGTGTGACACATCACACGCTGCGGAGCTTATGCCTGGCTTGCCTACACTAGGAGGAGCTTTTGCCTGGCTTGCCTACACTAGGAGGAGCTTATGCCTGGCTTGCCTACACTAGGAGGAGCTTATGCCTGGCTTGCCTACACTAGGAGGAGCTTATGCCTGGCGTGCCTACACTAGGAGGAGCTTTTGCCTGGCTTGCCTACACTAGGAGGAGCTTTTGTCTGGCTTGCCTACACTAGGAGGAGCTTTTGCCTGGCTTGCCTACACTAGGAGGAGCTTTTGTCTGGCTTGCCTACACTAGGAGGAGCTTTTGCCTGGCTTGCCTACACTAG